CACGATGTTGATGACGGAGGTCATACTTGAACTCTTACCTTTGGATTAAATGTTCCAAGCATGATGGCGTTATGCGATTGTAGACATTATGAGTGCCGAACAAAGAGTCCCACTCAAGCAATAGAAAATGTTTTCCTTGTTTGCATAGCCTGACATAAACACGAGAGGGGCTGGGAAAATTCGAGACAGTTATGCAAAGCCGAGACGAAGTCGAGGGTTTGCAAAGGTTAAGCAAGCACAGGAAGAAAGTTTTCTATTGCTTTTCAAAATATAACTTAATTTCCCGACAAAAAACGCAAAACCCTTTGTTATGGCAGTAATTAAAGGAGAAATTCTTACCAGTCGCAAAGTCTTGTACACGAAGTCTTGCACGCGTAATCAGTTCTTGTTTTGCAAAAAGTTCCAAAATACGGATTTTTCTGCTTAAAATGTCAGCTTAAGCGAAAATAAATTGACACAGCTTGCTTGTTTGTAAAGATTTTCCAAGTTTCAGCCGACGAAGGAATGGGTAAATAAAGTAAACTCAAAAACGTTTTCAAATTCGTTCTCGCGTGATCAGCGCGCGAAAGGCAAAACATGTTGACGTCACAACCATGTTTAAATACTCTCATGCAAACCCTCCTCTCGGCCAGTCAGAGCGCGCGTTCTATCTTAGTTATTTTATAATTAGTTGTTTTTCTTACATCCACAGAGGGCATGTCCCGTGGGAGGTTATATATAACTCTAACAGCCTTATAATGTATGGATTCCAAAGAATTAAATTCGTTCTTATTTGTCCAACTCCCCCAAATTGGTAGCGCATATGTAACCGAGGGTAAATTGATTTTAAAATATAGATCTAAAAGCGAATTCCTGGGCAAAAAGCGACTACGTTTGATCAGATTTAGTTTGTTAACGAACCCTCTCTTGAACTCCGATATGTGTTTTGTTCACCGAAGCTTGTTGTCAGTGGTTACAACTAACAGCTTAGAACTTGAAATCCATTGTATGAGTTGCTGGTTAATTTTTAAACTGCCTAAGGGTCCGATAAAATAATTAAAATTAGTGAATGAGGCTGAGTATCTTTTGAAGAATTATGGAGATCGAGGAGGGCGTTATCCCTCGAGGCTGTAGGCCGAGGCGGATAACACCCTCCGAGATCTCCATAATTCTTCATATGATACGAAAGCCGAATTCAATAATTGTTTTATTATTCATTAAAAATAATTACTCGTTTAAAAACATAGCTAAAACATGCTTACCTGCATCGATGTTAAGTTTACCTTCGATAGTGTACGTTTAGGTTTGTCCAGCTCCGCAAATATTTTCCAAATAGTAGATGTCGCCCTCCGAGTTGTCTTATTGCTGTTTTTGCTATGTTTTTAGCTATTTTTTCGCCTAGTTCCAGCTGTAGTTCTTACTCTTGAAACGAGTGACGTGTTGGCCATTTTTCTTTTCACAACCAAAACAACTCAACCTCGTCCCCAGGTTTTCTCGGTTAAGAGTGCATTAATCTGTAGCTGGCTGCATTTTTGACGTTTTTTCATCGTTAAACACAAAATTCTTCCACATTTGGTCATCAGTAACAGGTTGTGGTGAATTATGCGGGTGCTTTTAGCCAATCAGAATTGGGGAAATATTTTGAATGAATAATAGTTTCTTTTAACGATCGTTCCGTACACATTTTGGGATGTGGTACCAGGGAGTTCTGTTTGCACCGTAGGGCGAGTTCTCCTAGAGCTTTGTTCAGCGTTGTTGTGACCTGGTCCACAGATTCTCCAACACATGACACGGTAATATCATCGGCATACAGGAAGGTCGTAGCAGTGTCAACTACTTTCGGTAGATCGCTTAACAGGCGAAGAGTATGGGCCCAAGTATGGAGCATTGTAGTATACCGTGTGCAACATTGGTATTCTCAGAGGGTACGCCATTAATTACAGTATACTGTTCCCGCACAGATAGATAATCTCTTAGCCATACCAGTAAGTTTCCCATGATTCCAAAGTTGTGCTCTAGCTCTAGCTTGTTGCTGTTGTTATTAGAACGTGAACCCACAAGAAGATTCTTATGATTTTCTCGTAATTTTTTTAAGACTGCTATATGTATGTGCAGAATTAAGGACCAACAAGTGCTCATATGTAAGACTTACAATTGAATACAATTATCAGATTTTGCGTTGAGTTCCTTTGGCATTTTGGTGATAATTATGTCGTCCTGTCGATCGAATCGCCCGTTTATTCTAGCCCCTAGTAAAGGTTAATTTATTTTTGAATTTTGTTGCATTACTATCATTGAAATAGCCTCCAGTGCTTTTTCTGTTCCTTTCTGCCCATATATTTCTTGTAGAAAAATTCCGAATCAAACGGAGCGCCTTTCAGGCTTTTCTCCAAGTCTAAATATTTATGTGGGCATAAAGGATTTAATAATGACTGCTTCAATGTGAGTAATCAAACTATAATTTAAGATAAATTTAACCTTCATTGGTCGAAATTCATTTTCTCGTAGCCCATGTGGTATTACGGTAAAATATGTAAAGAAGTATTATAAATGTACCTCGACCGAAAATCATTCTCGTAGACTAACCTTAACTCGTTTTAGTCGAAAACAGAACAAATTTTGTCTTAAAAGACAATCTTGCACGATCACGTGCTTCATGTAAAAGAAAAACGAGCAGAAAAAACTCGAGGCCGAAGCCGAGAGTTTTTACATGACCTGATACAGTAATAACGCCGCGAAGAAGAACCTAGATTTTTTGAAGTTTGGCAAAATAGATTCTTATAGTTTGGAGTACTTATTGGAAGTTTAGGCTAAATAGGTTCTTAATTAGGTTTTTAATTTTTGTGAAGAAGGATACTGTTGTTGATTACAAGAAATTACTATAAATGGTATTTGTCCTTCATAATGGCATTTATTTACCAAAAATCTAACAAAACTAGGTTAACAGCTAGAAGATATGTAGTTTTCAACGATGGTTGTATACGTTATACATTTATCATATAATGAAATATAAATTTCCCATATTAAAGCCAGACTTCTGATCAAAATGTTTATGAAAATGTAGTCTAACCCAAAATATAAGAAGCTGTTGATTTTTCTTGGCTAAACTGGTTCTTATATTTTGGAGTATTAAAATGACAAATTTCCGCCAGAAGGTTCTTAAATCCTAGGTTCTTCTTCGTGGCGTTTTGCTGTGATACAAGCCTGGGAGTTTCTTGAACAAAATCTTTGATATAGATCAACTCATTCTCGCAATAATACGTAGATTTGGGTTATTTTGGTCAAAAATTAAAAATTGGTCGTTAAGTTAAGTAGTATCTTTAAATTATCAGATTTGAAGACATTCATTAAACATAAAAATCTCTTGTTTTTTCTTTATGGATTGTTGATTAATGAACTGTACCGACGCAAGCTTAGAGGAAATGAAAACTGATATATAGGGTTTGAATCACCGTTCATTTGTCGGTCTAGTGCACATCCACGGACAGCGACCTGGCATCAGCCTTGGTTTTCGGGAGGTTAATGGAGAGGTTAATTTTTTGAGCGACGCACGTTAACCAGAATTGGACTTTTTGCATTCTTTGGCAGTGGTTTTGCCCACATTTTTGGAGTAAAGAGTCTCAGGAATACAAATTTGGTAGCGTGAAGGCATTTATAAAGCGGTTGACGTGCGTCAATCAAAAATGCTTATTACGCTCCCTAGTGATGCAGTTAGTGGTGAAATTACTGGAACCGGCCTGGACATCACGATTCCGTTGGCGGAGATTTTTTCAGAGTCCACAAATACAAGAACAAAACGCTCAAAAGTACTTTTCACAGTTTATCACATATTCACTGTGTCTATTAATATCAATTTTTCATTTATATTAGAGACGAAAAGTTCGTCTTTTCCGGGTTTGAACGGCTAGTCAATATCAGTCGTACCAGAGACCAAAGACAGCTTTAGATTTGAGGACAAGAACGAGTACGAGATTTAACTTAAGGTTTTTACACGCGTTTTAAAAAAAAGACACTCCAGAAAGCTTAGCTCCATTTTACTTTTTTTCACTAAAAAGTTTAAACGGGTATTTATGCTGAAAGAGGTTAAGTCCTCTCCCGATAGCAAAATGATAAAAATCGTTACATTTGATATCTTGTTCCCGCCACTATGATATTCTCCCTAAAACTCGTAGTAGAATGACGACGGCTATCACGTTTTAAATTGCCGACGACATCGGAGTAGCTGAAGCCAAACCAAATTCAAATGTGATCTGTGTGATGCGGATTATGTTGGTTATACTCGCCGACACCTTTTCCAACGCATTGATGAAGACAAGCACTCAGCTATTGGAAAACATCAGCGTGACTCTCACAATCAGAAGAACAAAGACCTCACTGAACAATTCACTATACTGAAGAAATGTCGTGGGAAATTTGAATGCTTGATCTGCGAAATGCTTTTTATCCAGGAAAAGAAACCCAAACTGAACACTCAATCAGACTCAATAAAAGCGAAACTATTTAGTACCTAATTAACACTCACTACATTCCACATTGTGGTTTTTAATCACGTGCAACGAGACTTCACACGCATTCTTAATATATAAAGAACTTTTAACAATCTAACTTTTTAGAATTTGAAAATGATGAGCGAGTCATCGAAACGTCATTCAAAATTTTTATCGTTGATTTTTATTCTTAAATGTTTATCGAAAGCGTCTGTTATTAGAATTACGTATGAAATTTTTAATAACTCGTAATGGTGAGATAACCCATAAATAAAAACTACCTGTGTTAGAACATAACCAGGTAAGACTACCCGACTATAAAATAGACAAAGTATATTATATCCGTACACAATGTCCTAAATAGAAGTATGCAAGCCAAATCGAGATTGATACGTTGCCTACGTCCCCTGTCCTTTCTCTCCGCAGTTTCCCGCTTGCTCCGCTGTCTCAAGAGTCTGAAAACCTGCAACTTTTTGTAAACCCGGTGTTATCAAGAGAGAATGAGCTACAATTGTAGTTCATTCTCTCTTGGTGTTATAAATCCGTCGTGTCGACTATGACCTTCAGAAACATAGTATCGTCTCGGACGTAGGCATGGTCGTTTAACTCCGACAATGGACAGAATGTAGGGCACCCACTAGCGATGTTTGTTTCTCTTCTTGGTCTCTGGAAGGATGAGCTGTTTGGATCAGGTCTGAAGGAGTCGATCACGTGTTCTACGTTATTCTGATCAAGCAGCATGAACGTAACCTTCTGTCTGAATGGCCAGCGGAGTAACGCATCGTACTCACCACGCATGACAACAAAGAATACCGAGATGTGTGTCCCTCTTCCAATACCATCACCATTCAAGTAGATGCGCGCGCACATCTTGTATCCATAGCGACTGGTAAAGAAGCACGGGCTGTAAAATGACGTCTGTTGCCCGTAGACGGCGTCTTGCCGTTTTTTAGCGAACTCGGTGATTTTCCAAAGCAAGATTCCATCGTGACTGGAGACTTCCTGCTGCCTCACATATTCGTCCAAATCTGTCAGCATAACATTACGAAGTGCTAGTGAGTGACTCATGGACTCGAACTGTCTCTGTAGTCGATCGGTTGTTCCAGTCGAAGACTCCTGTTGCCTGGCTACGGTAGACACTTTTCTCTGTAGTTCTTCATTTAATCTGTTTCCTTCAACGAGCAAAAGTTCGAGATTGGCCGTCTTTCCTTCTTCTGTAGTTAACCCCTGTAAAAGCTCTTTGGCGAGCGTTGAATCAAATGCTGATGCTGAGTTTGAACTATTCTGTCTAGAACTTTCCAGTTGCCTTATTCTTTCTTCTTGTTGAACCAGTTTTGATTTTAGTTCTTCATTTTCTCTCAGTGTATTCTCAACTTGTTTAGCATAGCGCTCCAATTCTTTCTGATTTGGTAGATTTACGCCATTCATTGACACGTGTCCAGATTCCCGCATGGTCTTCCCAATCATCGAGAAGAGCTGCATTACGGTCTGAAATAGGAGCATCAGGTGACCGGAAGCATTTTCCTCTTCATGCATTCTTCGTTCCTTAAGCTTCATAGTCTAAAGAAAACGAAAACGACGTAGTGTATTAATGCTTAGAAACTTTAATAAACACGCAGCCCTTCTAGAAATGTCCGAGTGATTGCTGACTTGGAGCATGCAGTCAAACTTCAAGCGGATTCAAAAGTGGTTCTTAGGTACCTTTGATCACAACTCAGTATTGGGCATTCCGGAGACTTCTTTTCTTCTCTTACCTGCACAATCTAAGGACCTTTCAGTAGGAGTTTACCGTAGTAGACAAAGAAAGCATATCAGATCTCCCACTGACGTATACCCGCACCCCACCACAACACACACCCACAAACAAGTAAGTAAGGCAAAGTAGTGGCAACTCCTTAAGTGTGGTGACCATTTACGCAAAAAGCTATCAGTGTCATTTTTTTTTTCAACGTTGGTCCATTTAATGGGCGATCCCCTCTTAACTGAAGTAATGTCAAGTATTTGCATACCTTAGTCTCAGGGCATCCAATTTGCGTCCATGGACAACTTGATAGTATTTCTTCACAGTCTCCATTTACCAGATCAATATGGGCACGCATCTGAGTAAGAAAGATAGTATAGGAGCTAGCTCTTAAGAACCCGTTTACACATTTACGCGTGCGTTGCAAATCAAATTTGAATCTGTAATCATTATTTCGAGGAGTGTGTAAGAACAGAACACCAAGGAGAAGAAAACCTCTCGGAGCATAACTCACCTGAGAACGAGGTATGTCCTTTCTCCCACATTCTGTGCAAGTCACAGGGACGGAGGGACACTGAGATTCTTGGTGTTCCTGTGCACAATGAATTATGTATATTAGTCATCAAGCTAGAGATCGCTCTGAACATACTTTCCAGGCTACTATGGTTTTAAATGGAGACCATTAATTTAGGTAAAAAGATCTCATGTTTATGAGACCTTTTATTAGCAACGATTTCTGTCGATTTAAGACCGTGGGAGCTTAGAGGCATGAAGGAATTTCCAAAGAGTCAATAAGCGTCAGAAATTTGTTGTTGTAAAGGAAGATGTAAAAGTACGTTAAGTATTAAATCAATTAAGGATCCTGTTCCAAATGACGACAACTTAAGGGTAAACAACCGATTTCAGTAGAGTTATTCTTACCTCCAAAAATGCAAACTCAATATGAGTTTGGCAGAGGTCACATTTTTCCATTCTGAATTGACACGACTTCTCAAGATGCTCCACCAGGCGTGATCTAGTCACCAGTTCACCGCATCCTGAATGCACGCATGGAACTTTAACGTACTCACACACAGCCTCGTGATCCTAACACACGAGAACACGCAATTGACAATTATGACAATAATGGACGAGATAATAATAACGATAATTTAAAACAATACGCGAAGAATTGCATTGTAGAATCGGCAACTTTCCAGCTACGATCATTGTAAAACCAAAAATATATATAAGTTAGAACTCAGAGAAAATGTTTTGTTGCCAATACCGAGAAAAGAAAGACGCGCGCGATTAAAGTAATTTTGTTTTGTATTGGCGGAGACTTCATTAGCATATTGAAAAAGGACTATACTAAATGTACTTGAGCCAAAATGAAAATCGCTTTATTCCGGTAATATTCTGACACACGTTGATAACATTTCTGCTCCAAAACAAGGATTAAATAATTTGCCCTATACTTCTTCGAGTAAATTAAAGATTGCTTTACTCCGATAATGTTCTTAAGTTTACGCGCGGATAAAACACGTAGGTAAATCTTGCGCCCTATACTACTTTGACCTAATTGAAAACCACTTTATCTCGTCTATTATATCTACATCTCTACGTATTTCGTAGATAATCCAGCTGATACAAGTATGGGCATCACAGAGGGTCTATCTGAACAGTAAAACCGATGGTTGCGATGGGTGGTCTGTTTAGCACCATAATAGAATCAATAAACCCAAGACAAGACAAAAAATCTCTTAAAGCGACCTTGGCACTTTCATGACAAGGTGTAAGGTAAAAATGTTTTAATATATTTTTTGCCTCACGAGTGACCGCTTTTCAGTGTTTCACGGCTACAGATTAACCCGCCTGGGACCGCCCTTCTCAGTAGGGCTGGAAGTGGGTATACATCATGACTTTTTTGAACATCATATAGAAGCTTAGTTGTTACCTCTCGTTTTCTAAGCTCGTCTTTCCAATCACATCCTTCTTCTTGATGAATGCAATGGACTAAAAGGGACTGGATTTCACGCTCGACAAAGCGGTCCAAAAATACCTGCAGAGTGATCATGATACGAAACAAAGTATTGCTACAGGAAAATAACAGTTACTAATTGTCCCATGCAGGGTAAATGAAAAGAATGGCAAAATGTCTAAGGTGGCGGATAAGACAACATAATGTGTCCTCTTTAGGTGATTTATTACAGCTACAGGGATTAGAATCACGTTTCCGACAAACCTCAAAGCTAGAATTTCTTAAATTAGAAAATGAGAAGATAAAAATTGTCCAAAATACTTTTTGTGGATGAAAGTGACATAAAACTACTTTTTATGGGTAGCTATGGTGAACAGTAAATGACAAAATCTTGGTCACGTGGTTCAGCGTAAAATGACACCACCGACGTCCGTTATCGGTCCATTTTATGTATGAGAAATGTGGCTAGTGATGTGATGGAAGAGGTAGAGGTGGACCACACCAACGGAGAGATTTCCCCTACACTTTTCGATCGAGAGTGTGGTTTTGCATCCTCTTCGTATTAAGTTGAAGGAAGAACACCGCCCAATGTTGGATCACCTAATTATTTAAAGACCGTGGTCGTTAGTCTGGCCGGGGTTTGAGCCCCAGACCTGCCGCTTAGAATTCAAGCGCTCTTCCAACTAAGCTAAAGAAAAGTTAAAGGATCGAAATGGGGTGGGGCAGGGTGAATGAGGATGCAGCATCATAACTGGGTGGCGCGCGGCTAAAACAGAGCTGTGTCATATTTCAGACCGGCCTAGTATGTGTTCAGAAGATTTCACTAACGACAAATCTGATTATAGAAAAGAAGGTAAACCTGTTCTCTATGAATATCCGATCCATCGATGATGCACTTTCCAACTTCTTGCCTGTAAATTTATTAGGGAAAGAGGTCAGTGTGTATCAACCAGTAATACGAAGAAAACCTAATTGTCGGGTATTTATTTGATTTTTGTTTGCCAGTTAACTGTATGTAGTTAATCTGTTTTCACCGCCCTCAGTTGATCAGTTGGATAGCGTTATCCACCGGGTAGANAGAATTCAAGCGCTCTTCCAACTAAGCTAAAGAAAAGTTAAAGGATCGAAATGGGGTGGGGCAGGGTGAATGAGGATGCAGCATCATAACTGGGTGGCGCGCGGCTAAAACAGAGCTGTGTCATATTTCAGACCGGCCTAGTATGTGTTCAGAAGATTTCACTAACGACAAATCTGATTATAGAAAAGAAGGTAAACCTGTTCTCTATGAATATCCGATCCATCGATGATGCACTTTCCAACTTCTTGCCTGTAAATTTATTAGGGAAAGAGGTCAGTGTGTATCAACCAGTAATACGAAGAAAACCTAATTGTCGGGTATTTATTTGATTTTTGTTTGCCAGTTAACTGTATGTAGTTAATCTGTTTTCACCGCCCTCAGTTGATCAGTTGGATAGCGTTATCCACCGGGTAGATCACTGTCCACTGAATACGTCTCAAGGAAATTTATAACTAACTGCTTTCTTCACTGGAGAGTAACTTATCCAGCATTAGTATAATTACATTGATGATCAAAAAACAGAGCGAAAATAGAGCGCTATGATTGGCTAGGAGCTTCGCTTCATCCCGCTTATAATCACCGCGCGGTGATTATAACATTGAAGGCTAGCAGTTTCAAAATAGCAGCCTGAATTGTTGATGTTTCGGGGTCGGAAATTGATCAACAATTTTATTTCTCGAATAATCATCAAAGTAATTATGCTAAAACAATTAGTCGCCGAAGGCGACATGAATATCGGCGAATAGTCACCTCGACTTCGTCTCGGTGACTATTCGCCGATATTCAAGTCGCCCTCGTCGACTAATTGTTAATTATCCAACTTTTGAACAACCTGGGGCTTGATATACAGTTTCCATTTATCTGCATCACATTAGCCACGGAAGCTATCGACAGCATGATTTGTTTAGTTATTCTCATTATATCAGTCATTTATCTACAGTTAACCACTAACTTTAGAGGTAGCATATTTCAGCTGGCTAGGACAATGATGAGGTGACACGACGTACTTACCAAAGAATCGTTTCCATACATGCTTTGCAATATCTATGACCACATGCTATTGTTTGGACAGCTTCTCTAAGAAGACCCTCACATTTAGGGCATAAATTCTTTTTGTCGATTACTGATCGGTCCGCCGAAGATAACTCGTATCCAGGCATTGTAGGCCTAAAGGTATATCCAAGTACAAACAAATAAAATTACTTGCTGTATAGTTACTGGAAAAACAAATCGAACAACAAGCAAATATTGGACAAGTTAATTGATTTTATATTAAAGAGGCCCTACCAGGGTAAATTCCGACAAGCGACATGACCCAAAAAGTAGCGACAGAGCCTAAAATGAAATCACGACAAGAGACAACCTCCGATCCCTCGGCCAAATTGCGACAGTTACGGCAAAGCTGAGAATAAGCGATAAATAACCGTGGCTTGGTTAATTTATCACCAGTCTAAATGACAAGAAGAAGTAAGGTGTGCTATACGCGAAACTGTTAACTGACAAATTGCAGAACTGTAATGGTTTCTTTACAACGCATCGCTATCCCCCTTTTCTAAAATTCCGACAAAGACAAAGAATTTCGTTCAATTTCCGACAGTGAAGTGAAGCAATCATCATCACCGACACAAGACGTTTTAAAATTCAGACGAGCGACATGAAACCCCCCCCCCCCGGCCGGGCCCCCTTTTACTGGGCCGGGGCCGTAGATCAAGGATTTTCCCGTCACAAAGATAGGACCAAAAACAGGGGCCCTTTTTATTTTAACCGCGTAATAACACAAAGACACAAGACGTTTTAAAATTCAGACGAGCGACATGAACCCCCCCCCCCCCGGGCAGGGCCCCATTTAACTGCGTCGAGCCGGTAGATCAAGTATTTGCCGATCACAAAGCTAGGACATAATACAGGGTCACTTTTATCTTAACCTCGGTAATACACAAATACTCGAGCTATAACAACAAGACAATTATATTAGACAAACATTATTTCTGTAATTCTCATTTTTTTTTCTGTGAGGCATGTTCCCTCTATTAGATGGTTCTTAAACTCATTCTTTGCTAACGTTTACTTACCTGCCTTATAATTAACTGTATGGCGCAAGATTACTGAGTCTAGGAAAACCGCGGCGGATATCAAGTCAAAGAAGCTCTGCCGTTCACCAGTGTGATCTCACGAGCACCACAGAATTGCTTTTAAGCTTTAGCAAGCGAAATTTGTAAAAAGATAATGTGAAGATGGTGTAACATATCCTGAAACTAAAAATTTAGAAGAACGAAACATTCTTATTTTGGAATTTTCATTCTTGACGTCACATATGCAAAAAATCTTTGACAGCAAATCTCGGTATATCGTTTGTTCCGCCACATTTTTAGAAAGCCGCATCGACGCTATAACTTTGCGCGTTTTACTACCGAGATTAGAATATTTGTAGCGAGGCAGGTACCTGTCTACGTCAAGAGTGGATATGGAAGTCGACTGAAAATTTTCCATAGTCTACACTTAGAAATTTTGTACAAGACGTGATAAAATGCTGAGAAGACATTCTTTCGTACATTTTATCGCTATAACTATAATATGTGTTCTCAACTCTCTAGTACCAATTTACGCACGCAATCAGCCTGACCTAATTACGTCACCAGGCCTGTCTTGTTTACTTTGGTCAATGCTAATTCAGCGCCTTAGAGAGGAGAAGTCGTCACGTCACGTTGCCATGGTAGCAAAATTTTTGGATGACAACAAACCGAAAATGTCACTTAAAAGTCTATTCGCACTATTTCAAACTTCACCGATCTTATTCAATTTCATTTAATTTGGCAAATCTTGATAAACTTTTCTTTGGGACCGTATCTATGGTTATCTAAGTTTAGATAACTGACATTAGACATTGACACTGCTGTCAATGTCTTGTTGTAAAGTAAAAGTATAGAACATGAAATTGAGAATGAATCTTGCTGTGTACACTTTTAAGTTTCTTTTCAGATGGAAATAAGTATAGTGTATTTTCAAACTTGATAGATTTAATAGCTCTTACACTTCTTGTCTAGTAGAGTCAACGCATTTTTGCAAAAGAAGACCCTCTCTTGAATTTTTCTAACCTAGGTCCTGAAAAAGTGGGAAAATGAAATAAAATAAATGGAACATAAGAAACACCCTATGGAAGGATTTATTGACCGGTCTGTTAAACAGCCAGAAAACAGTTAAAACCCCACTTGCAACTCACTCTTTTTATGCAACATTTCAAAATTCCAAGTAATGGTAAAGTCAAATGCTCTGGGCAAAAATTCTTCTCCTTTACTTAACTCTGTGCTATTACTAAGTCGATTCGGTTGCTTAAACACGCTGCACTGCTTCTCTAATATATTTTTATTCAACTAAAAATAGCTAACATTACATTATATTACTGATCGGTCCGGTGGAGAAAAATTGTATCCGGGCATAATGAGGCTAAAGAAAGATAAAAGATAATAGAACTGAGGAACAAATTTACTGGATGTAATTGTGTTTTACTATTTTTGTATTTTTATCATTAAGTTATAGTATTTTTTATCGTATCCTTACTTTAATGTGACCGCCCTCGTATCAGCAACGTTGAGCACAAATTGCAAGTGCCAACCAGCAGTTGAAAGGCTAAATTTCCCAGTTTGACCCCTCTTTTCAAGAACCTGTTAAGCCTGGAATTTACAACAGGCTCTCATCAGTTTCTAAAATCTAACCTAGCGCATATGGGCAAATAAGTCAACATGTGATCATCCTTAATTCTTCTTTGTATAGCCATTTTTACTTAACTACTTATTTTTGGCATGCAGATATTGTTTAAGGAACAGGCTGACTTAAATAGCTAGCATTAACATTCTCTTATTAACTATAATTGTTTTCTTCAGAGAATATAAATAGCTGCTAAATATGTGTAAAGTATCATTTATGTAAAATAAGAACCTCGGATTAGGGTAACTGTGGAAAACTGGTCGGGCATTACTTGGGGCTATATAATGTAGTACTTTTATTCATTACAGCCTGGAACTATTGATAAACGATTTTTGCTCGTGGCTCTAATGTAAAATACACCACTTTTGCCTCCCTATGTTATGTTTTCAATTAAGTTTAATTCGATCTACCGAAGCTAAGGCGATTCCGCATGATAAGAGCATGGCGCACTTGAGTAAAAATTCAAGGTAGAGTTCCTTCTAAAGGAAAGGCAATTCATAAAGAAAACACTGAGACATTTGAAATAAACTGGCTATAATTGTTACAATGGCAAATGGCGAATAACAACTAACCTCTATTGTATGGCGCAACTTGTTGGTGGCAGTCGTGAAAATAGGTGATCGAAAATTTTGTGATTCTTGGCAGAAGACCTGATGCACCTCTTCTGACAAGAAGCAAGAATCGAATTCAGCAAAATCTCGCCGTTTATCATGCCTATGGTGCATTTTTGAAGCTCTTTATTTGTTACAATTTGTGAGGTAATCACTTAACTTCCTTAATATGCAGGCCCATGCATATTTGAAAGATGACGAGCAAGCCAAAATTATCCATAATTATCCATTATTGTTCACAAGGCAGGCTTACGTTTTGGCTGTAAATATTTCAGAAAATTAGGTTCAGCAATAGAGTGATTTTACTCAACCCGTGAAACAGATATACTAAAAACTAATGCCAAATAGCTACAAGTAAACAAAAGAAGACAATAGAATTGGTGCATAATAGTGTGTAGTAGTCTACAACCTATTTCACGGTTTCAACTAAAATCACTCCAGATAAAAACTTAGCCAAAAAAGACGACGTCTCTTTACTACGTTCTTTAGAGTGAATTTACCTAACCCATGAAACTGTTACTAACAATATAGACGCCAAATGGCAAATCTCAATTAGTGATCGACTAACGAAAAGAATACTGTGAATAGAGTAAGTTAATATATGTGCGTAGTAGTCTTTTGCTTGCGCCACGGACCGTACGGAGTAATAGTCAGATTACGTCGGATGTTTTCGCAGGCTACGCCAATGCATGTTATAAGTGGATCACACACTGACAGTAGTTTAGGTAGTTTAGGCCGTGATTGCGAATGCTTTTAGTTAAAATTCCTCTGCGTTTGTTGTAAGTTCACTCCCAAGACGTATGTTAGTCAGTGATACAAAATTGTTCGGTTGGTAAATTGCTGACCAGTTTCTTTAACTAATTAAATCTGTTATTAACTAAAAAGATATAAATGACGTAATGTGTTTGTTGTAAGTTCACTCCCAAGACGTATGTTAGTCAGTGATGGAAAACAATTGTTAGTATATTGCTGACCAGTTTCCGAAACTAATTATGTTATTAACTAAAAACATATGTATGACGTAATAAAGACAGAGTCCGCAGACGAAAATGAAAATGGCGTCCGTAGAGGCCGGTTGTAATGTGTAGTAGAACTAACTGCAGTCGCGTCTTTGATGCTGTGTTTACACTCAAGCGTTTACCAAGGTAAACATTAACTGACTAAACCCTGGTACATTTGTACAGTGTTTATACGGGCTCAAATAACTAAGGTAAATCTGTCACAATCTAATCGAATTGGCGGCAAATCAACGCATAAAATGCTCGCGTTTAAAAGAGAAGCTGTGGCTCTTGTAGTCCTCGCGTTTTATTTTCTTGTTCTTGATCAGTTAACCCAAGAATCGAGATTGCAGCAGCTCTTACTTTTGCAGCACCTAAAGAGGTCGAGGCGAAAGCGATTAATTCTGCTACAAATTGCCCTTCGCAAGACAAGGCGCGTTAGACGTGGACGAGAAACCAATTCTGGTTCGAAACTCTATTAAACGGAAATTTTGTCGAAGAATGGTGGAAGGAGAACTTTAGAATATCAAGACGTACGTTCGAATACATTGTCCGATTGGTTGGTCCGGATTTAGCAAAGAAGGACACTAGATTACGCGAATGTATACCGGTAAAAAAGCGAGTGCCTGTAGCGTTGTGGCGATGGAGACACATACAGATCAACGGGCCTGCAATTTGGTATTGGAAGATTCACGGCAATGCTTTTAAAAGCTGATTTTTGTAAGGCTATTGCCAAAAGAGCCCCGCAATTTATAAAATTTCCAGAAACTGGTTGGTCGTATTCGTAATGATTTGTGTCTTTGTTTTTTGCCATAACTTCTTCGTAGACCGAAACCAAACGTAGAA